TTAGAGAGACAAAAAAAATGAGCCGAATTTCGCACAAATACTCACTCGGTTTGTTCTTCAGTGGTCGTCCTTCCAAAGTAATCAAACTTAATCTCAAACCATTCGTAAACTTCCTTGTGAAGTTTAAAATACTTGTCACAGATCTGCTGGGGTGTTAAGCCTTCTTCTAATGCCTAGCGACAAAGCCAAAGAAAGAATTAAACAAGATCATTAGAACAGAATTCCACTGAGTGTCGTAAAACCAAAACCAAAGTAATAACTCTAGCCAATCACAAAGGGCACAGACAGTACAGTGAACCAATCAAAACTTGAAGTGAATACATTGTCATCAATCATAATTTGAATTTTATACAATTTCATTTAACTCAAAATGAGGTTTGGTATATATATTTATGATTTGCAAAAGACACGAGTAAGTTACAGTTGTTACATATTCATTCAGCTGATTTACTGTAACCTGTTTTAATGAATTTAGCCACATCCACTCTGATCTTCCAATGGCTGTGTTTTTCTGTGCAATCAGGATAGAGTCTCAAAGATTCTAAATGCGCGATTTTGGTCGTATTTTGAATTGAAAATCAGTTAAGTTTGAATTAACAAGTATTGAACATTTACCTTAGTTTCAGTAGCTGTGCCGTATTCATCTGTCCCACAAATGTATAGCGTGTTATACTGACGAAGCCGGCAAAACCTGTTAAACAATAAAAACCAAAACTGGTAAAAGCACTGAACTAGAAACTGTCAACAAAACCGCTCTTTTCTTCAAGGGTGGATTTGTATATTCTATTGCACAAAATTAGTCGAGCTCTTTCAGCTATCACACTGGTCAATTACAACAGACGCAAGCGACAGGTAACACAATTGACCAATTCGAAGAAAATTCGCATAACTGTCGCCAAGCGCGGGAAAATTGTCTAACCGAAATTTCCGAAATGCAGGTAAATGGTAAACAACCATTAGTCGCAGGTTTGATCCGTTTTAGAGACAGGATGCGATCAAATAAAGTGCTTTTTAGTGGGTAAGGTACCTGGCAAATACGTCAGCACTGAGGACACAGCCAATGATGTTTCCCAAATGAGGCACATTATTCACATAGGGCAAGGCGCTGGTGATCAGAATGTTCTTTTCTCCTTCTATGGGAAGACTGTAAAATGAAAAGAGATGAAACAGAAACGAGTCATTTCAGTTAAAAGACAAAGAAGACTTAAAACTAACTGAAAAAAAAAAACGCTGAAAAAAATGGAACGACTATTGCTCTCTTAATAAAAGTTCAATAGCGCATCATTCTTCAGCGATAGAAGAGAGTCCTTAAACAATGTCTTGCAGTCATTTCCAACAGAGTCTTTCATGAAGTAAAGAGCTGCAGTAGGAATGTTTTGACTTTTAGCATGAGAACTCAGCTTCCATTCAAGAACTTCAGAGCATGTGAACAGTAAATGCAATTCTCTGGTGTGTACACTTTCAAACAAAGCATCTATTTATACCTCCCAAGTGCACGCCATCATAGCACTGTCACAGTGAAGTGAAGACCAGTGAGGGCTATCTTTAAAACGAGGAACGGGGAATCGGGGAATGGGAATGGGGAATGGGAATGGGGAATGGGGAAT